GTGCCGCCAAGCGCCTAAAATGGAGAGCGTGACGGGCCCGCTCTTGGTGGAAATGACGATCCTGCGTAAGAAATACAGAACGGGCACACGTAGAAAAAAGACGAATTAACGGGTCTGGTTGTGATACGTCAAACAAGTTCGGAGGCACTCGCGAACAAAACGATCCCTTTGTGAAAACAAAGGGCCGACCCGCGGGAAGGAGATGGATCCTGTCCCCCCCTCTCCGCGAAGAGACGCAGCCAGCCACAAAAGGATATGAATAGAACGGTTGTTGAGTCACCGAGGACGCAGGTTGTACCGCCTGGGTGTAGTTCCGTGGTCCAAGGGCTGGCTGGGAGCCGGGAAGTCCGGGACCTGCGAAATAACTGCTGTCTCGAAGTAGCGATTTAGTTCAGACACATGAATTGGGCCGTACTGCTGTGTACCATGCAGTCGTGCTAGGCGGTAGCTCAGCGGGGAAACTGTTTCCGTTATACGAAAGGGTCTATCCCAACGGTTGGCTAGGGATGCTGCGAAGCCTTTCGACGCATCGCTGAGGGGATGTGTCCGACGAAGTACCAGGTCTCCAATCTGAAAGTGCACGTTGCGGCGGCCCTTGTCGTACTGGGTGGCCTGTTGAAGACGAGCGATGTCGAGGTTCTCTCGTGCTTCAAGAACGGCCGACGAGAGTCGGTGATGGACGCCCTGGGCGAACTGCGCCTATGGGCGTCCATTCTGCGCAACATCTGTGTATAAAAAGGAATTTTCCATTGGGAAGGTTAGCTCCTTACCAAAGTTGAGACGAGCAGGCGTGAAACCAGTCGATCGGTTGACCGTGGTGCGCGTTGCAAATGCCATCTCATCGAGTTTGGCATCCCAGTCTTTGTGGCGGGCTGTGTGGGAAATCAACATCATTTTGAGGTTGCGGTTGATCCTCTCCGTGATGTTGGCTTGCGGATGATACGGCGAAGTCAGCTTGTGCCGCATCCCAAGCGCAGCGCAGGTGTCGACGAAGATCTTGCTTCGAAAGGGCGAAGCACCGTCCATGATGAGCTCTGCAGGAAAGCCGAATCTGGTGAAGACGGACAGAAGGCAGTCCCAGATCCGCTGCGAAAGAAGCTTCCGTAAGGGGAACAGTTCGACCCACTTGGTGAAGTGGTCAGTCACAACAGGTATGTAGGGATTTCCTCGAGGACTGCGTGGAACCGGTCCCATGACATCACATGCGACAATCTGCCAAGGCGACTGGTTAACGATTGGCTGCATTAATCGTGGTGGTTGGCCTCCGCGAGGTTTCGCCTTCTGACACACTGGACAACTGCGAGCATACTTCAGTACTTCCTGCCTGATTCCTGGCGAAGTCGCAACACGGCATAACTTATCGTAAGTCTTACTGCCGCTGTGTGACCCGCTAATGCTGAATCATGGAAGTACCTGATGAATGATTTGCGCAGCTTCCCAGGTATCACGATCCGGAAAGGCGATCCATCGCTGTCATCGTCTGCCTGGGGGATGTAGCGTAGAAGTCCGTCTTCGCTCAGCAGGTACGAGTCGTACTCGACGTCGCTTCCGGTGCCGCTTGCTCTTCGTGCCGCAAGCCTCTCGCACACGTGTAGACAAAGTCCATCTTCCTGCTGGGCCCCACAGAAGTAATTACGAATTTAATTCCAATTACCTCCAGTAGGGTAATGCATTACATTGCAAAATTTCCTGCATCAAAACGTAATGAGATACATTGCAAATTACTCTCAGATGTAATTTAATTACAGTAATTTCATTACTGCCACCTCTGCCGCTTGCACGCTTCGCGGTGTCGGCTAATGAACGAAATGCTATCGTATTTATTAATCACCGCTCCACACGCTTCCCCGTCGGCTGAATGGTTACGTGTCGGGCTCACAATCTTCACGTCGTGGGTTTCATTCCCCTTGGGGACGTTTAGAGAGTTTTGTTCTGTCTTTTCAATTTAAACGCTAACAACTCTCCCGCACATGCGTATTTTTTTTTCCTTTACTTGTTTAGCGGGTTTTTCCGCCCAGGGGGCAGAGATAAAGGCGTGAAATCTGACAGAGTCCCTGCCCCCCAACAGTTCAACAGTCAACAGTGCAATGAATTCATTCAGCAATAGGTATACTCAGTAAAAATATAAAAGAAGGCACAATGAAACGATTACTTCAACATTCAACAGTGTGAATTGTAAAATAAAATAAAATAAAACGGCACAATAAAGCAACTAGCAAAATCACATGTTACACAACAAGCATGATTCGAAGCGTAGAACAAATGTAACGTCGTATGACATAGAAGCATCATATCACTAATATAAACATAAAATAAAAAGTTTTTTCACGAAAAGAAAAAAAAAAAGAGAGAAGAAGGAGACAGCATAAAATAGGACTGATGGCCGCCATTTCATTTAGCAATGAAGAATGATCGAATATATGTCCAGAGCCACATTTGCAGTCAAATATATGTACATAATAAAAATAATAAGCCTACATATTACACAACTGAGAAGCTGATACCACTGCCCACGAGAAAGCTATGGCACTGTTTCTTGAAGGCATAAAATGTTTTATCATAATCTATAGTCATATCTGTTCTTCTTAGCAACTTGGTTATCTGAAAAGACCGAGTAGTGCGGCCATAATTGGGTTTCGCTTTGGGTCTCGCAGATGGTAAAAACCCAAACTCTCTTTTGGTGTGGAGTATATTTTGTGTATGTGAATCCATTGCAAGACTCTAAAATAGTATACTTCGTCTGCCTGAAGCATATTATATTTGACGAATAGTGTTTGGGTTCTTATGTTTCTAATATCTCCTTTATAATTTTCGCACATGCCAAGAATCCTCTCCTGCAAGGTGATAAGTTTGACATAGCTTGAATTGATCGTCGCCCCCCAAACTGAGATGCCGTAACTGATTTTAGAGTAGAACAAAAATTGTACAACGCCTGTTTTAGCCAAGTGGGCAGCAAGTTTCGTATCTGATATGTACTTCCCGTAACACGAGATAATTCACCTTTGAGTTTATTCACACGAGTGTTCCATGAAAGGTCCCCAGTAAACCATACACCGAGGAAGTTTTGTTCAGACACTTGCTCAAACACAGTGTCTTCAAATTTTAAGCTCATGGGGCTGCAGTCGAGTTTATTTATTGGCTTAAAAATAATATACTTAGTTTTGCTAGTATTTAGTTTTAAACAATTTTTTTTGTAACGTTTCAATAGGTAGACATTTGCACCACTTTCTAGGCATGTTTTCGTCCCCCCAGAGAAGAATACGTTGGTATCGTCTGCATACATTAATAGATCGGGGTAACCGGATATAGTCGTTATATTATTGACATATATAACAAAAACAAATGGACCTAAAATTGACCCCTGAGGAACCCCATGATGCATTTTTAAGTCTTTTTTTACGATTCGCCGTTTATTAGTACATATTGGTAACGATCTGCAAGATAGTTCCAATTAATTTTAGAGCTACTCCGCGTACATCGTAAATTTCAAGCTTTATAAGCGAAATATTGTGCTGCACAGTATCAAATGGTTTACTTAAATCTAAGAAGAGACCAAGAGTAAATAATTTGTTCTCAATATTTTCAACTATTTTATCCTTTATGTTAAGAACCGCTAGCTCCGCCGATTTTTTGCTCTTGACAGTAGTATTGGGACTGCGTTATTATACTATGCTTCTCGAAAAAAGGTGTTAATCTATCAGCAATCACACGCTCAAATATTTTAGAAAAAACTGGGAGAACTGAAAAAGGTCTGTAGTTATTAATGTTTGTCTTAACACCTCCTTTACACACTGGAGTAACCCTGGCTATTTTTAGCTCGTCAGGGAAATATTTACTGTATTCGATAGAACTGAACTATGGTCACAGTGTACTTCATAGGTAGGGTTATTATTTCATCTATTCCAGCGGCGGCGTCATTTTTTAGGTTTCTGATTATTTTATGAATTTCAAACGGTGTCGTTCGAGTAAGCATAATCGACCCAATTTGGTTTCCTGCGTCAATACAGTCACCTTTGAAGCCCTCCCAGTGTACGCACTCGAACTAATAAAATATATATTCATTTTATCGCCAAGTTTTTTCCCAGTGTCACGCTTATCATCTATTGGTATTTCTTTCAGATTACACCGGGCCTGCTCTCTGTTCGTGAGTTTGTTTACCGTGTCCCACACTTTTCTATGGTAATTGTGTATACCTAGAAGTTCTTTTTCATAGTATTCGCATTTCGCTTTTTTTAGGTCGGCATGCAGTTTGTTTCTGCATTTCTTGAAATCCATAAGCAGCCGCCGATCACGACGCCGAATAAAGGCATGATACTTGGCATTTTTCTGCCTTATTCTTCCATACAGGTCTCTAGTCATCCAAGGCTTTCTCATTTTTCTTTTTACATTTCACTCTACGTTCCTGAAGAGGAAAAGCTACATTATTGTACTGTCGGACTTTCATCGGGAATATTTTATAGGTATATCTAGGGTTGCACTCAGCGTAAACGACATCCCACGTTTCTTTTTCCATGAGGCAGACGAAAGTTCTTAGCGTTTCCTCATTAATGGTGCGATGCCAAAATGCATCTACGTCGTTGTTATTTTTTGAGCAGGCGAGGACTCTACGCAGAAGTATTCGTTTCGTATAAGAGAGCAGAATTACCCTGGAAGGACTGTCGAAAAGAATGTTTCGAAAAATAAATGTTAAAAGTTAAAATATCCGCTTCGGTTGTCTACGTCAGTGGTTTTTTCCTCTACATTAAAATATTTTATTGTAATCTTGAGAGCGCGAATTAAAGAAAAATACTAATAACTTTCGGCTCATGATTTATTGAGCAGGGGCAGATTTTAAGTGAGCTGAACTGAAATATGAAACTCTCTGTACGACGCATTTGGTGTTACGCAACGCTACGAGGGTGGGTCGAAGGATGATATTAAGCCTTACAATGTAAAATCTGAATTGTAGACAATGTCTCCAGTCTCTATAAATGTATTGTGGGTGCACCGATTCAGTTTCATTGCCGCTCCGGGGTTTCTGCCGTGGGTGTCAAGCTTTGACCGGACGCAGTACAATGATTGTCCAAATGCTGCTGTATGGCTTCATTCTCTTCACTGCAGCTTTCGTAAGTCGAATCAACAACTTTTATGCTGCATTCATAATGGTGTTCGAATCGCAACCGCGAAGCGGTTTCGCTGGTCGTCATCATCAAATGCACGTAAATTTGTACAGCTTCTTTAAGCAACCGGGTTCGCAGCCGCTTTGCGAATGCGGCTCAGTCGCCAGTGTGAATGCGGCCTTAAAGGCGCCTCAGTAGTTCATTGTAAAACCTTCGTGCGCGAAACGTGCTAGAAAAATTGTATTCGGTAGTCGGTCAGTAGTGCCCGGAAGATATGGAGTGTGAAGGGGAGTAGTGTTTTAATATTTTTTTTTAATGCCTAAGACGCTAGAGCGTTGTTATACTTTAATTATTGCGTTCATTCGGGTGCATATCATTTTGGGAAAAAAAAAAAGAAGTATTTGGTAATCCACAACTTCAGTGGCAGACATTCTAAAATAAAATTGCATTCTTAGAATGAAGATCGTGCTGGTAGGGGTAAAATATAAAGAAGGGAAGAACATACAACGTGTCGTCTCTGTCCTCGTTTTTTTATGTTCTTCCCTTATTTAAATAAAATTTTATTATTTTCGCACCGCTACTTGATTTGATTATAAACTTAAATATTCGCACAACCATAGGTTTCAATCATCTTGCCTAAGTGAATAAAATAGAACGACCGGCTTCCATTGAATCTTTCATAAGATTCTAGAATGAGACAAATATTAGACCATGAATACAATAAAGAAGACCATGCGAAGGAATGTTAAGGTATCGCGTTTTAATGTTTAATATAGGGCGACAATACGTCCATCATGCAGTGCGCAGGAAAGGGTCGTTTCTGGTCACGGACAACGGACACTTTTCAAAAGTGTAGCGTACTCGCGTAGCTGCTTCGCTAATTGGGTCATTCTTCCGAAAAGTCAGACATTGGTGTAACTGATCTTTGGCTTTAATAATTGTTCGCTGTGTTCATTTATTATTCATTGTTGGGACAACATGACGCTCTACGTTCATAAGAACAAATATTTTCGATTATTTTTAGTCGGCACATATTTGGAGCACATTGATTTTGGAATCTCTCCTATGGGTAATGACGGAAATTAGGCTGAATCTGTTAACTATCACACAAGTTTCAAAGCCTTCTAATTTAGTTCTAGCAAACTGATTTCTTAGCAACCTGATTTAAAAAAAAAGACGTAGAAATTGTGAGTCATCGTTTATGAAATGAGCACTTTGTTCAGTGTTGCCAAAGTATTTATGCTCTCATAATTAGTAACAAGAAACGGCTGCAAGCGACTAAAATATCAATGGTGTAACGACGATATAAATAATATAAGCGGCTTTGTCCACGGTATTCAGTACGTAACCAGGCCCACTATTGAACCTCCTTTCATGGCGGCCTTACCAAAACCGATGATCGCTTCAACCAAAAGGTTTCGATCTTATAGGTCAAAGACTAAGCAGGAAGAATTTCATACGCTTTTTTTTTAAGTTTCAGTGGTGTCGCACATAACTAATGTCCCACTTTCTTTAATTTATTGATATGAAACAAGGAGGATTGGCGAAATAAATATGCCTTCCTACAGTTTTAAAACTATTCAATTGCAGCGGAGAGTTCAGTTAAACATTTTTATTTTGCTCGAAATGTCAGTAGTGTCATAAGTCCGTCGAGTCACGAGTCAGTCGCTTCACGGGTCAGTCGTGTGACGGGTCAGCCACGATCAGTGGCACCTGCCGATGGCGCGCGCCGCCACTGCTGGTTTTAAACGACATAGTTCCGTGCGCGCTCGGAATCAATAAGCAAGGTCATATGAGAACGGTAAGTGCTAACTGTCTTTTAAAGTCCACTATGTAATACAGAGTTGCGCATATAATTAAACGATGGTGTAAACACTCGGGCATACTGCGCTCGGCTTTATTTCTAGAAAAAGATGCCGCTACAAATTTTTTGTATTTTTCTCCAAAATATTTTTTTATTTGGATTCAAAACAAAACAGAGACGAGCGAGAAGCTAAAAACATTAATAGGGTACTTTACAAGCCTTTAAATAAAGGCAGGAGTATTGTGATAAATTGAAACCTCTCAACTATAGTAAATGGTTCTAAATTGTTGCATTAAATACAAACAAGTGTGCTTTATGCTAAGCTATACCACGAAAACAACGCACACAATCATGCTTCCGTGCTTGTACATTTATCCCCACTTGCTACCGGCGCTCTGAAGCAAGACAGTATCAAACGACTCGTTAAAGCAGAGTGCATCAACCGGCACTCTGAAGCGAACAGTATTAACTAACGCTCTGAAGCAGACGGTATCAACTGACGCTTTGCACTTTCAAAAAAAGGGGGTGTACTATTTTCACACCTTGGTACCATATATCGCACCCCAAAAACTACTATTCGACGTTCAGTCCACTGACGTCGATCCCACCATACTAACTTTCACGAGCGGCTTCATAGTGGAGTGATTCAACTTATTAAAATAGCTAATGTACCCATTAAAGACTACAGAAAAACACTGCTGCAAACACTTTTGTTGACCCTGCTGCAAAAGCCCGGACTTTTTTTTGCCGTCTTTGTTACATGGATTAGCTGTTGGTAAGTTATATCACACATCTCTCAAGCCGCTCCTAAAAATTGGTATCGTCTCTTCTACGTCAGGGGACTGAACGTCAAAAAGGTAGCTTTTGTGCGTTATATGGGACAAGAGGTGTAAATACTACACCCTGCCCCCCCCCCCCCCCCCCCCCTCCCCCTATTTCCGAGTGTTAGGCAGACGGTATACAACCGAGGCTTGAAAGCAGAGGACATCAACCGGCGCTGTGAAGCAGAAGAGACCGACGCTCTAAAAAAAGGCATCAATCGGCGTTTTGACGCAGACAGCCTTACGCTTGGTTTGACCGTCTTCTCGGGTTGCTAGTGCACCTCCGTCTGGTTTTTGATAAATCCTTTCATCCGTCTGGTTTCTTCACAAGGTTTACGTTTTAGTGTTCATTTTTAGTGTGCGTGCACCAGTTAAGTTTTGGCCTCTCTCCTGTCAGTTTATTTATTTACTGTTTTTCACGCCTTACTATCTGTTTGCTTGTTTTATTGAATATTTAATATATTATTTTCCGTTTTGGCCATAGATAGGGCCCATCTGCTGTGTCCGTCTTTTTTGTTAACGGGGTTTGTCTTGTTCGACAGTTTTATACTTGGCTGACCTTTATAGGCCTGTAGCTCTACAGTTTGGAGGAGCGACCCTGGCAATCAAAATCAGATTTGTTAAAGCTGTTCTTACGTTGTGCGTCAGCACGCTCAGTCAAACGGTTATAAATATGAAACAAACGACCCAGAAGAAAAAAATGTTTAATAATAATATTAGCGCTTTGATGATCCCCAAGTGCAATTATTCAAGTTCTCCCCGCCGCCCACGTCAATAAAAAAAATTGTCGCAGGGTTTTATAGAGATTTAAAAGAATAGTGATTGTATATCTGCTCGGGCGCTATACTACCTTTTTTTAGTTTATGCAAATATATGTAACTGTGTAACATAAAGTGTATGTGCTAATAAAAAACACTTATTATTCTTAGTGATTACATTTCTTGGTTTTCAGACACAACATTTGGCACTTTTTTCATTTGTTTGCAAAATATCAGATCTCACCAAAATACTTCTTTGCCTCAAAACAAAACTGACTGTATATATTCAGAGCATGATATTGCAGATCTAAACCACTCCAAAATTTTCAATATTTATCTTGTCATAAGCGCGAGAGAAAAATAATATTTTACAATGCCGTTATTCATTTTAGTGGGGTACATTCTGCAATATACTGTTTATTAATAAAAAAAAATGAAACATCTGGAAGCACAGCCATGTTTTTTTATCAAGATTACAAATGGTTCACCTAATAATCAACAAAATATTAAAATCTAAAATAATGTCGGAGCATAATCCTTTTTTCGGACCCAAAGTTTGCTCGGGAGAATGACCCGATTCTTCGAGACAGCCATTATTTAGGCACGTATGCTGAGCACGTATTCAACATGATGGTTCCATTATCGTTTGGCGTTGACTCAGCTCTGGCCGTATCGAGAACGAGTGCTGGGTCAGTGTTTGGCGAAGACTCGGATTCAGTTCCATGTTTAGTGCCCAAGGAATGGCGACAGTCAATGTTGCCTGGTGGCCTCTTGAAAAAGGCTCTGTTTGGTGGAGGAAGTAAACAAAACAAACATGGAGAACCGACGCCTTGCAACATTCATTTCCCAACGGACATTCCTGGTCTTTCAAAACCATTATTTCACAAAATAGTTACAAAAACATTGATCAAATCGAATATTACAAATCGAATATGACAATATGACGAATATCTTAACATCAACTTGGCAAATACATTGCACATGTGTTACGGTAGGCAACATTTATTTAAAAAATAAAGCATTCCACATATTTTTGTTAAGTTTATTATCACAAAGAAAGCTTATATTCTGGATATATCACTTATATGGGCGCATTATTACTCGCAGAAACGTTAAATTTCTGCCATGCGTGTAAAATGTAATATATATTATTCAGTTGCCACTACACTATCTTTTTTTATCAATTTTAGGCTTGGAAAGGTGAAGGTGAGTTATTTTTTTTCAATATTATTATTATAAACTATTTACATATTGCCACGCGCGTCGCAGAGTGAGCGCGTGCGCTGCCGAATTTTTACCATGCTTGGCTATCGCGCTCAGGCGCAAGGTTCGATTCCAAGGAACGGACTCCTCTTTTATTTATTCTTTCAACTTGACGTTCTCGTAAGCTCGCAAACCTTGCGCTCGATCGTGCTACTCCGGCGACCTTCGACGCCTGCGACGGTATACCTCTTTGTATTTTTGTTTTCGGAACAAGTTCGCCAAATTAAAAGTTTAGTTTCTGTTCATTCGTCCCCTCATCATCTGTTATTCGTGACAGTTGATGAGGCGATGATTCCGCCGAGATAATGTTCAATCGCAATGAAACTGCGATTTTTTATGCGTGTAAAGAGTGGAAGCAATATACGTATATAACGACGCACCTTCGACTATTTTAATCAAGAAAAATAATGAAAATCTCGCGCAAACTTTATTATGCCGAAAATTTAACACGTTAGTCACTGACAGCCTAAACAACGCTGGGCGTGACCTCTTATGTTGACGCGTTTTGATACGTAATCCTTCCTCCATCGTTCTTATATTCTAATGCCGCAACCTTATGGGCTGCTGAGCAATTACAATACTCTAAGAACCCGCTACGCCCTTTGTTTCTTAAGCTGTCGGTAAGATATAGCTTGACTACTAGCTTTATCACACCCGAAGGAGTGTCATATATTTTTTTTTTGGAGGGGGGGGGGGGGGGTTAGAGTGAACGCGTATACCCAAAGACGATGGAAGTTCGCATCACCTTGCTGCTGTCGGAAAAGAGCTTCAAAGTTTCTTGGCGATTTTAAAATACCAAACAAGATTCTTTACAGCGAAGCTGTATATAACACGTTAATCGTTTCTTTTTTTTTTTTTGTGTGTTTTGACGGTATGGTTGGCAGAAAACCATCGCCCGCGTTTTATCACCGTTCTAGCGCTCCTTATCATCTATCATTGACACTTTTTTTCAATAAGCAAACCACAAAACAAGTGTGAAATGCACACGATAGATCATGAAGGCGCACGCGAACGATGACAAACACGTATCGCTTCCCGCATGCTTTTCTCGGGAAACAACGCGGTTGCATAAGCTTCCGTGGCAACGACAGAGGCCAAAGTCGGGGTGACGTCACTAGCCCCGCTAACAACGTTAAGTACGTAGTGCTCCCCACATACGCTTCTCGGTAAAAATTGCGGTTGCATAAGCTGCCGCGGTAACGGCAGCGTACCAAGTCTTTCACATATAAAAAAAAATGTTTTGGTGCAGTGCATTCACTTTTCTTTCTTCAGTCATTTGGTATAGACCCTTTTTCCGTTTAAAAACATGAACTGCCGCTTGCGTCCCAAGCGACTTCCGGTCGCGCCGTCTTTGCAAGCCTATTGAGCTTCCTTATGTCACCAGTGCTAAAAAGCATAGATAATACACGGACAACGAAGTTCGAGATTTAGCGAGGGCTTTCGACTATACAAGATTACATCTTGGAGGACGCAAGTTGTTTTACATGAATACCCGAAACATTTGAACAGATCTCGCACTCCTCTGGTACGTCAGAGACTGTAGCACCACCTGGTGGCGTTTGCCATAAAAAGGGTCTGCAGTGCAGTGGGCAATCGTTGCAGGGGATACCACAGCTTTGCTCTCCAACCATTTTCACAGCGTGTATTTGAGCCTAAACTTTTCTAATATTTTTTTTATTTAGATGAATCATGAATTCTTGTAAACATATTAAGATTCAGGTGGGTGTGACATTACGTTACTCAGCCCTGATTAATACATAACGTAATGTTAAACGAGCTTGCTTATATGGTACCCTTTGTTTCAGCGTATGTCAGAGCAAAGTCAAAGCACAGGTGATACAGATTTATTTATTTATTTACCCTAAAGGCCCAAACGGGCATTACGTAGGGGGGGGGGGGGGGAGCGATAGTACAAAGTTTAATACAATTGGGTAAGTGAAAATCAATAAACAATATAAATAACAAGAACACTAGATCAAAACATGACACAAACCAACACTATATGAGTTGGTCCGTATTACTTAAAAAACTAATGAACATATCGGGTGAAGTGATTAACGCGATTTCTGGGCAGGCTGTTCTATTCGGAGATGGCAAGAACCAGAGGGGAATTCTCGAACAAGTTAGTGCGGGCAAAGATGGGCGATACTTTAAAGTGTGATCAACGCGAGACGAAACACGATGAGCAGGTTCAATGAATGAGGTCCTATACAGAGATGATCCATGATAGAGCTTGTGGAAAAATGACATGCGAGCAATACATCTTCTGTACTGCAGTTGGGTTAGGTTGAGGTTACGTTTTATGTTAGCCACACTGGAAGTACGGGAGAAGTTGCGGGTTATAAATCTTGCAGCTTTATTTTGAAGTGCCGCAATATGGTTGGTTAAGTAAAGCTGATGAGGGTGCCATATGATGGATGAATATTCCAACTGTGACCTGACGAGGGTAGTATAGGCGAGGAGTTTAGTTTCTTTGTTAGCTTGAAATAAAGAGCGTTTAAGAAAACCAAGAGTTCTGGAAGCTTTGCGGATTACATATTCAATATGAAGGTTCCATGACAAGTTAGTTGTTGGGTGGACGCCGAGGTATTAAATCGATGTAACGTTTTCAATGCGGTCCTCTCCAATCATGTGCGCGTGATGAGTGGTTTGTAATTTCGTTGTAAAAGTGACAGCTTTAGTTTTGTTACTGTTTATTTGCACTAACCATGTGGTACACCATTGCTGGACAATGTCTAGGTCCCGTTGGAGTATGCGAAAATCCAAGGGGTTAGAAATGACCCGATAAATGACCCAATCGTCCGCGAAGAGACGTATGGTAGATTGAATGTTAGGGTGAAGGTCATATATATATAAAAGAAACACTACCGGACCGAGGACAGAGCCCTGAGGGACGCCAGACTTCACCGGCAAAGGGGAGGAGACACACTTGTTAATTAAAGCAGATTGAAAGCTGTTTGTTAAAAAAGCAGTTATCCATTGAATAAGGAAAGCGTTTATATTCATAGTTTCTGATTTGTATATTAGTCTGTTATGGGGAACCCGATGAAAATCTTTAGCAAAATCAATAAAAATAGCATCGGTATTACAAGAGGAGTGAACAGCAATGTGAAGGTCAGTAATCAATTCAAATAGTTGTGTTTCGCAGGAATGACCGCGTTGAAACCCATGATGATTTGAAAAAATAAGGCTGTTTGAAGATAAGTAGGTCATAATCTGTGATGAAAGTATATGTTCTAAGATTTTATATGAAACGGAAGTGAGCGATATGGGTCTGTAGTTATTGAAATTATTTTTTATCTCCGGCTTTGAAAATTGGAATGACATGAGCGAGTTTCCAGGCATCAGGTAGTTGACCACTGGAGAGGGATCGTTGGAACAGCCTGCGCAGTAGAACTCCAGATGTGTGTTTGGTTAATTTTAAAAGCTTAGTTGATATTCCGTTGGGACCTGGGCTAGAGTTAGTTGGCAAGCGAACAATGGCACACTCAACTCCGTAACTAGAAATGACAATATCGTTCACTATATTTTCGGTAAGTGAGGAAATAAAAGTAGGATGTGGAAACACGTTTTTCTCAGTAAAAACACTGCTAAAAAAGTATTAAAACCAACAGCTAATTGATGTGAAGTTTGTACTGATCCGTCGTCACAAATAATACAAGGTAATACTGGAGTTGGCTTTGGATTTACTACGTTCAAATGCTTTTTTTGCGCCAGATCGAAGCATGTTTGAGACAGCGTCATCGAAAAAACGTTGCTTGGCATTTTTTATTTTGTTTTTGTAGAATACTTAGTGAGCATGATAAATGGTCCAATTGTGCTGACTGTGTGAAAGCACGGCACAAATATACAGACGTTTCTTTTTTTTTTCTTTTTTTTTGTAGATAGCTTTTAATTCTCGTCGTAAACCACGGCTTGTGCAGGCTAGGGGCGATTTTTATAGTGGGTGCACATACAGCCTGAGCCTCCAGTTACTTATCCGAAAAGGATCCAATTGTCGTTTAGACACCGTTCATCAAACCCACTCAGGAATGTACGAGAAAATTCACTTAATACAGAATACAAATTTTCCGTGTCAACTCTCTTATAATCAAAAATTTCTTTGTTAATGTGGTCCCGTTTGTTTACAGTCAGGGCAAAAGCGCAGTGGATAATACAATGATAACTAATTTTGTCGATGACGCGTACAGATGCATGCACGGGATGGGTGGTGAAAATTAAATCTACAACTGCATCTTCAAGAGTAGGCGTGGTAATCATTTGCTGCATATTAAGGTAGTCTGCCATTTCCAACAATTTCCTACACTCACTTTTGGGGGGGCATTCATCGGACACTGTACATGCAGCTCAATCAATACCGGGGTAGTTAAAATCGCCAGCTTATATGAGAGGGCAGTGAGGGAATTTAGAATGAACTTCGTTCATAACTGTATTTATATTTTCAATAAAGTCGGCTGGAGGAGCTAGGGGGCCTGTAACACACCCCGATTAAACACGTCTGAAAAGATAGTTAAACGGTAATCCATAAAATTTCGAGAGAGCTATGAAAGGAAAGCAAAGAGGATGGAATGGTGTTTCTGACAGCTGCCATATCTCCGCCTCCCCTGGTACCAGTTCGATCTTTGCGATAAATAGTAAACGAGATAGCAAGAGACAGCTCTGATTTCGGAATATTCGAAGTAAGCCAGGTTTCCGTTCCCAAAACAACATCAACAAAACAAGAGTCAATACAAGCCATCAAGTCACCTTGCCTCGGCAATAGACTGCGGAAGTTGGCTACCAGGAAAGAGAGCGGGCCAATCTGCGTAGTGGGGCAAGAGTTTGTTTTATATTTATTTTGAGGTCATGGGCGGTGGTCTTATCTATTGCCTCGGGAAACTGAGATAACCTTATCACTGTTTGCATCGTAGGAGTAAACAACATCGTTCAATGTAAGCTCATCGTATGATAGTCGGAATCTATTTGTACCTCGGTTTTCTTTGCATAGTCACGAAGTTTTTTGCGGGCAAGCTGCACACTGAGCGAAAAATCCTCTTCAATCCCGACTTTAGGGGAAATCAGGTTTTTCAACCTGGGAGCATTGCTTAAGACCTTGCACTAGCATTTGTAACTCAGAAATTTTATAACTCTCGGCCTATTTGTCCCAGCCCTAGGCCGCCCAATCCGGTGCGCGCGCTCGATTTCACCGGAGGTGATGTTTAGATGGGCTGAGAAGAACATTTGAACGTTTTTCTCTGTGTCGTTCCAGGTTTTGTGTTCTTGTTCAGGTAGGCCTTTCATTATTATGTTATTTCTACGAAGACGATTACTCAAGCCGTAAACGACACCAATTACATGTTCCACTCTGTGCTGCCTGGTGGTGTTGTCTTTGATCTCTGTTTTAAGGTTAGAAACCGTCAGATTCAGAGATTTCACTTCCTCTTTTAAGTGAGTAACCTCGCGAAGAGATTCTTCAAGATACGACACATGCCGTGATATGTCTGTAATTCCTGCGTTAATGCCCGCTAGTGTAGCTGTAGTTTCTCTCTGGTTCTTTTCGTTCGAAGCAATGCCACCCTGAAAGGACTCTAGGACCAGATCCATCTTGTCAGATCCCGGATTAGCCTCGACATCTCCCGCGCAAAGCAACAGTTGCGCAATGCATAATGACAGAAGCGGGATTTTCGCGCTGGGACACACGGATTTGACGTTCAAAACATGGCGCTGCGAACTAAAGGGACGATTACTTTTTCGCGGAACAAAACATCCAATACCAACTCTGTACGTGCCCTAATCAACCCCCACGACAGTACAAAGGAATCACAGATATTCACACGGATTTGCAGGGATTTGCGGACACAAAAACTTGAAGAATATTTTGAAACAAAAGGAAGATTTAAGTTCTGTTCACTCAAAGGAACAAGCCAACATAGTAGGGTGTACACTTGGTCGCTAATCCCTCGTCTGTGATGGACGACAGTCCTTTTGAGCACTGAGACGTCTTGTCCACCAGATGTCACTTCTTGTGTGATTCTAAAGTCGACCAACCGGAGCCAGGCACGAGCCGAGCTTGACGGGTGGTGGAAAGGGCGACGGCACGAGCCAGATAAATATGAGTTGACTCTTTAACGAAGGAACAAGCCAGCTTAGTAGGGTGTACACTTGGCCGCCAAATCCCTACACATCCTTACCCTTCACAGAAGAGTAAGAAAAAGCACATGGTCAAGGCACATTGACGGCGCTTTATTAGTTTGGCGGGGATTAACATGTACCGATGTCACAGGTTCGGATGTTAAAGATTCCATTTAAACAAACAAATTTGGAATTTGACTTGGACCTGTGACAAACTGGCGTCCGCGCCAGTTTGTCACATCGAGGTTGTCAAATAGAGGTTGTCATACAGATTTTGGAGGGGGAGAGCCGAGTCAGCGTTCTAAGTCAATTTCCAAATTTGTTTGTTTACATGGGATCTTTAACATCCGAACCTGTGACAAACTGGCGTCCGCGACAGGACAAAAATAGTTATTGAATGCTGTGACAACCGACAAGAAAGACAAACACCGTGACATTGAGTTTTAGGTCCGTCTTGATTGGACTCGGTCTCGTAGTATCGGCTGCACTTTCACCTACGGCGAAATGCAGTGCAGTATTTAGAAATGTTCATACGCCAGGCGCGAATAAAAAAGTAAAAAAGAAAAAGAGACAGAACGAATTGTCCGCCTGACAACTCAAAGTTTATTTTGAAAAAAAGAGAGAGATACAAACACGGCACTTCTATTCCGGATGAGCGTGCACATTCGTAAGGTCCTTGTCAACGAACGCATGACTTGGCGAGTGCAGAACACGTTAACGTCGCTTTCCAACCAGTAAGATTTGCGACGCTAGCTGATAAGAACGCGGAAGGGCGAATCAAGGGGCAAGCAGTCACGCCGTGCGTTTTTTTAAGCTGTCGCCACGCTAACAAAATAAGCACCGGAAAAAAATGACAAAAAGAAATCAAAATGCAAAAAAAGAAAAAAATGCCAACTCGTTTTTTAGCAGAAGTATTGAAGGTTGGCTTACACAAAGGGACTTCTTCTATTTTTATACCGGGTGATATTTTTTTATTCCAAACAGTCTTTTTAAAAAAAAAAAAAAGAAAAAAAGAGGCGTATTTACTGCTAGGTTATTGGCGTCTTCACTATGTTTTGTAAGCTCGGCGGACGTTCGAGGGGCGAACAACCGTCACTGTCTGGAGAGTAATTAACTAAAATGCGTTAATTATCTTTTAATTAGTGCAAATATAGTTATGGTTTCGATTAGAAACTTTCTGAGCTCATCAAAAACCACTGAATCAACTCTTTTTAGAACGACTTGAAGCTCGTGGGAAAGTCGGGGGCGCGCCAATGTTACCACTCGTGAAGCAGGAGCAAAGCGAGCAGTGGCAGAACGCAGATGATTAGTTCGTTATAGCGTTCCGCCACTGCTTGCTTTGCCCCTGCTGCACGAGTGATAATTTTGGCGCGCCCCCGACTTTCCCACGAGCTTCAAGTCGTTTTAAAAAGAGTTGATTCCGTGGTTTTCAATAACGCTCATTAAGTTTGTAATTGGAACCATAAGTTTATTTGCACCAATTAAAAAGTAAATTAACGAGCTTAGTTAGTTACTCACCAACCTGTGACGGTTGTTCGCCCCTCGAGTATCCGCCAAGCTCAAGAAACCTATAGCGAAAACGGCATTCAGGTAGCAGTAAAGACGCTTTTTAAAAAAAAATCTGTTTCGAATAAAAAATATAGCCCGCTATAATATGCGTCAACTAGCCTTCTTGATGGTGGGTCTGTTTTAAATGCAGAGCCGAGTCGCTTGCTCCTGCCCTTTGGATCCCTTCGTCCTCGTTTCTGTTCGCGTTGTCTTTAGCAGGAGCGTTCACCAACCTGACCAACATTATTTTCTGGTGCGAATATTGAGTTTCATTTTTTTTTCTTTAGTTGATAATGGAGTTTTTATATTAAGACACATTTGTGAGCCATTTAAACCTGACCACCTCTACCTGCTTGCTCGCTTTGCTTCTCTTTGCAGAGAACACACTGGAGGTCTTCAATCTCGAGGATGCGTTGAAGAAGTTTGTTGACGTTTTTAAAAAAGTCTACAAAACTCCAGTGAGGTGGACTGATTTGTGGTCGAAGCGCCAGGAAATGAAAGATCTCTTCGCAACTCCAAAGTAACTGAAACTCAGGCTTAACTATCGCACAATTGGAAGTATATTACGACATTTTTATTCTACATAATGTATTTTTAATCCGAAAGCATTAACTGTTCTATGAAGCGAACCGACGTCATCAGCTTTGAAACCACGCCTAACGTTGGCCAAAAGGCACCTAAAATCCATTTTCCCGATTGAAGTCGATTTCTGACGGATTATGCTCCCATTGGCAGGCGCGCGTCATCAAGGAACGAGGCTCCCATTGGCTCTCGTGCGGCGTAAGTTTAAAAATAATCCACCAGAGAAGCCCTTTCTATTGCGGCGCAGCGCTCGCAGCGGCGCGGCCGCCGGTAAAGGGAGGCAGCGGTGGCGGCGGAGCCAGAGCCCGCCCGGGCAGACTCCGTAGAGGTCGCACGGCCGAGCTCTTCCAAAACGTGGCCATCTACGCCATTACGCCGCAGACGAACTAAGAGAGCGGAAGAATGACATTCACGCTTTCGAATTCACAGCTCATAACAAATTTATGCTTAGGTGTCCTCGAACCTTTTTCATTTTTTTTTATTCCGGTTTTGCAACACGGTGTTATCAACATAGCAAAACAGCAGTCGGGTTTTTCCTATAGATATTCACATCGAGTGATTCGGCCACAAAATAGAAGCACCTGATTTTTGTTTTCCACTGAAACCAACAACAAAAACAAATATGTTAAGGCTCCCTAATATGAGGCGAGATTACCTATTACCGGAAAAAAAAGATCCCTGGAATGGAGAAACTCCGCAGGAAGAGACAGATGTGTAACTCAGAGAACGCTTGATTGTTATAGACTTAAAAATGTAACATATACCGATAAAACAATTTGCGTGCCGATATTCCTACGGCGTAAGGAACACCAGTTTTGCCTTGCCTCCCCCCCCCCCCCCCCCCCCCCCGCGTATTGCCAGAGAGTGTGACATTGCCGTGCGCGCTTCCCTCTTGGCCAGCTAATCGCGCGATTACTGATCGACGGTTTATTAATTGCTGCGTTAGTTTAAAAATGTATATGGTCACCGACAAAGTGAAAATAGCAGGGCGCGTCTTCCGAATGTGCGCGGCCTCCAGTAAGCGCCTCACGCCTTTCACCGTGCTTTGACTGCGTGCGCGTGCTCGAGGTGCACGAAAATCCGAGGCATAGTCGAGGGTAGGAAGCTCGCACTGGAGGCGGGACAACTGAAGCTCTCTCTCCTACTCTAGCTAACGCAGTTCCTTAGGCCAAAGTTATGTTTTTGTCTGGACAACTTGGGCTTTACAAGCGCAAAGTAGTATAAGAAGAGCCAAACTTCATCTTTTCTGGCTAGAGTCTGGATTTCTTGGCCCTAAATCTCCAAACAAGCGCACAAGTTGGGCTTTACTGTCGGTAATTTGGCTGTCATCTGACATCTTTGGCTCTAAATCGCAAAAGAATTGGCAGGCATATAGGATTCACTTCTTGTTATTCGGTCTTTATCTGGCAACTTTGGGCCTAAATATTCAAACAAATGCTAGAATTTTGACTTCGGTTCATATGTGCACATTGTTTGGCTCAGGTCTGGTACTTGGGTAGCAATTATATGGCAAGCAAAAAAAAAAAGCCATAGAAACTTCAAAGGAAATTGGTCAGGCGTTAACTAACGCCTTCAACTAAAACCGTACAAGGCCGAAACTATAGGCCCCTAAGATTGCCACGCTTGTGCCAAGTTCTGCGTTTCTCTGAGGTGCTACATAGGGCCGTTTTTACCTTGTCAATGACTGTAATTGAATTATTTTAAATATGTCTTTTGTTTCAAAGATTTCAGGTAAATGTCCAAAGCGGCCCGATAACAATTGGTGAGCCAGAAGCAAAGGAGAAGATCAGCACTCTTCTCTACGCAAACCTCTATGACAATGAAGCGAATGCAAGTCAAACGTATACCGTCACGCATTCTACCAGTCGCAAAGAAAAATCATCTTACACGGTTAAACTAGGATTCAACCTCGGCCTTGTGTTGTCGGGAGGTCTGACATTCGAAGAAACACTAGGAGTGAGTGGCAGCGTCGGAATTAAGACCGAAAGAGAAACTGCCAAGACAGACTCTAAAACGACGCTCAAGACGTTTTCGGTCGCCACAGGTGTCACCGTTCCTCCTAACAGGACCGTTCAAGTGGAGTGGTACGCCACCACCACCCAAAAAGTACGTGATTTGCGATTTCTATCCATGGTGCCACTGCCAACTTTCTATTTTCGGGGAAAGTAGAAATGCACGTTCTGCCTCATAAATGTTGACGATATCAATTAGTTGCACTAAACATTCTGAGTTGTTTTGTAGGTTGTTGTTTTGTTTCATCATAGCCGCTTTGTTTTACCCCTCTTATATGTTTGTCTGATCAACTTTGTTCAGCCCCTTATTATCAGTTTTCCCTTTGTGATACTTTCCTGTATAGAAGTCTGATATGTTTTAATCAAAGCGAATAATTGTTGTTGACGCTATCTGTGCGAAACGCGATTTAGCTGCTCTGGGTAATATTTCACAATAAAAATTTGTTTCCACTTGTTTGTAAGAGAGGTAACGCGTGATCAATATGAATGTTGTGAGGCAAGTGTTTGAAGCAGTTTTAATTGAAAAACTAATATTTCGAAATAGGTAAGCTCTTGTTTGCTATGTCTTGGAAAAAAATGTAACGATATTATCACTGCGTGTGTTGCTATGCCATTGCATATTTTGACTAAGACTGGAAGACCTCCAGTACACCAAGTATTTTTATAAAATTAAGAAGCTCATATTTGATGTACCTCTCTTTTACGGGAAAAACCTCCTTGAGCATTACTGTAACACCCAACGCCGGTTGAAAATGGCCAGGTTCTTTTCGAGATACAGACGTATTTTGTAATGACGCGACCAACTGATTATTCATGCTTTATTGACTGCTCTTGTTATTTTGTTACGCTGCTCTTGTTATTTTCAGGATTATGTGTGGCGCCGCAAAGTGACCATCAGTGGATATTTTGCTATGGGGCTCGCGACCCCCTTGAAAGACACCACCGTGTTTGTCATTCCAGTGACTTACCTCGCCCTTGTCAACCCCGCGATGACAGTAGTAGGCGACAGGCACGTGCAATTTGAGGCTTATGGCATATTAAGAAAAATCACCGTGCCGGAATCTGACATCTACACAACGGATGTGACGGGCACTTTAAAGGACAAAATAACGACGATTTCTGAAAGGTCTCGCATTGTTGGGTAAATGTTAGAAGCAGGCGGGCGCTTTCGACATATTAAAGCGATGCTCCCAAGTCCGCAACGACAATACTGGTGGCTTCTGTGCTCAACATCGCGACGAAGATATGCCGTTTAGGCGTGTGTCAAGATTCTTACTTTTCTTTACTTTTTTTCCAATAAAAAAAAATGTGTGTGTGTGCGCATAATGCAATATTTATCTCGCAAAATGTAGCTTGCAAAAAAGAAAACATAAAGTGTAAGTTTGGGAATTATTAAAATCATGGTTCTACGCAATCTTGGCTTCTGAAGTTTTTTTTTCAATCAAGTGGCATTCTCCATTTGTAGAAGGAAGAAGGAAATGTTTAATTTTGTGTTCACATCTTCTCTTTCAAATTGGTGCATGCATATTTTGCCATATTTATTGAAAAAGTGTTTTTTTATGAAAAGGCAAAGTGTTGTAACTCGTGTTTCGCGTGGTAACTCAGCAACAAAGTTATAAAACAGATTCCGGTAGACCTAAAAGTTCAACAAAAACTAAAACCAGAAGCGCAATGCCAGGCGCTAGTTCATAAAAAGTATGTTTGTACAATAAAAAATATTAGAATTCGCATTTCACGAGATATACGTTAATTTCTAGTTTAAACGATAAAACTATTTTATGTTTTAAATATTTTATGGAGTACCAAGTTGTTCGGTGTTATGAAAACCTGCGTTCGGGTTAAAGTAAAAAGTTATCTCCGGGCGATTATTAAATAATGTTTCCATCAATCTCCATTTGCATAAGGACTCAAGTGGGATTCATTCGATTAAGTATCTTCCTTTTCCACAAGAGTCGGATGAGTGCATCTTTGATTTCAAAATAAAGCGAACCTATCGTTGAGCGTGAAATTGAAGCTCGCGTGGCAGAGACGGTTCGCGCTCGAGAGCCGCGGCTCGCTACATCTTTTATTTCGCGGAGATCTGCCCTAGCAAACTTGCCCAGTCAATTGCGAAGCATTACGGCACTTCAGGAAGCCAGTGGAAGAGGAAACGTATTGAAAGATACGATACGATACGATACGAGTTTATTTTTCACCACAGATACATGCGGTGAATGGGAGGCCGGAGAAAAAAAAAAAAAAAGCTGCAGAAATGCAGCTAGACTAAGCACCGGTCCCCCCTTCAGCAGCTACGACAGAGCACAGGAAAATCTATATACAAAGTGTGTGAGCATTACATATAATGGACAACGTGCAACGCTAAATGAACAGTTCAAGGATAGTGTTTTTGGATAGATGTAAAACATCAATATTTCTATCAAAGTAGCTATTGAATAAAACAGGCGAAGTGAAACTTATTCTCTGGTTACCCTAATTGGTACTACACTTCAGATTCTGCCAAGGCTGGTGACGTCTACATGAATAAAAGTCAGATTTCTTTTTTAAATCAGAAAGTTTAAGAACAATATCTGAGAACCCAAAAGCCGCATATGTATACGCCATAATTAATCGACAATCATAGACCTGTTGCATATTCAGAATTTTGTATGATTTAAACAATGACTGTGTTGGGTGTATGTAGGGGACATTTGCAATTATTCTAATCACCTTTTTCTGCAGTAAATGTAATGTGTTTCAATTCGAGAAAAATGTATTTCCCCAGACAAGATTACAATAACACATATGATAATAAAGTAACGAAATATATAAAGCCTCTTTACATTTGTTGGAAAAATATGTCTGTGTTTATTAATAATTCCTACGATTTTTTCCAGTTTAGCGCAGAGATATTTAACATGATTAATCCAAAGCACCGTGGTCCAAAGCATATTTTCCGAAAAAACAATTGCAGAACACACGTAACATAGAGGTTGTGTTGCCCTTTAAAAGCATGCAAACGACACCCGAACCGGAAGTGTTCTCGGCTCCCTGTCATGGCGGCCCGAAGTGGCCCGAATAGAGTGTATACTTTATTTTCCCCTCTTATGTCCTAGCGTATCCTGCAATGCGAGCCGAGGGGCCAAAAAACCAGCGCCAAACGTGCATCGTCTCGGCGGTCGTCGTCTCTCCGCGAACGGTATCTCCGTTTTAAATAATCATGAGCAGAAAAGAAGGCAGGACCACGGTGCATTTACTGCGCGTCTTTGGTTTAGCCGCTGACAGCAAACTTTAAAAAAATGACGGGCGCCGTGACCATGCATTTGTGGCATTGCTTGATTGGCTACATTAGATCGCAGCGACGGCTGTGCTCGGACTTAGTGTGAAAAGGAGAATATCGAACTTTCCTTCTTTTCAATGCCCACGGTCACGAACCTGTAACATTGTGTAATTCGTTCACTTTAATTTGCGAAGGACGAAAGTCAAGGCTTTTGACTGCATTCAAGTTGATCGAAAAGCGATTTCTCTGCCCGTGAAGCATCACTTCCAGCTGAGTGAATATCCGCTCTAGAGAGAGCAATTCAAGACCGCAATAGCAGCCCTGCGCGAACAGCACAAATAGAAAAAACAAACACTACAATAGAAACACAGGCTACGACGCGCCGTGCGGGGAAACAAACTCATGGCTTCGAACCGCATTGGAGCGGCTTGATTCATTGGCTTTCAAATAATTACGGCATGATCGAGTGTTTACTTTTTAATTGGAGATTCATCTCCTGAGCCATTCAAAATACTCTCAGAGGTACGACATTGCTGGAAAAAAATCAACATGCTGGGAATATTTTTTATTGCTTAGCCAGTCACCGAGAAATTCCGAGCGTTCAAAACGACCAGTATCAAAGACGGAAACGCGAAGCACGTCTGTAGTTGTCGAGTTAGTGTGCCGTTGCATCCATGTTTTTATGTGCCATGTATGTGTATGCGCTCAATGTATGTTCACCTGATGCTTGTAGTATGCGTAATGTGTCTACATGCGTTTATAAGAGGATCCCGAAGTGCAATGGTGGCGGAAGAAAATTAAATAATTTTTGTAGTACATGAATTGGGCGGTACCTAGCGCCACCTAGCCTAGCTACTTGCAATTACTCTGCTTGAGTTGAGCTGCTTAGAGTTTGTTCTTTTGAGAGCGGCTTTTTGTTTCGCGGATTGGTTTTCCATTCCTCCGTGATATGCGGTCGACGATGGAATTTTGACTCGAGGAACAGCAAAGGTAAGACGTAAAGGGCGCGAAGTAACTGGGTATCGGTTGTCTCCGTTTAACATCGTAGTGCTGACGACGAGAAGACTGTGTAACTGCCTTCGAAACGCAAGTTTCTGTACCTGCGAGGGGAATCTGGCTTCGGAAATAAACACAGTTCGCGGAAAGCTCGTGTTACGCTTTTATTTGCTGCTCCTCTCGTCCCTTACAAGAGACGTAGCGTCCTCGTTAAGCCTTCTTGAGCTCGATTTGCTCGATTCAGGGCCGCCATAGTGAGCTGCACGCGACGGAGGAACTATTTGCTCCCCTGCTTCAGGGGCGAAAGTTTCTCCCTTTCTAAAGGAACATAGGTTACAAGACCGTTCCTCCACTTAGGGAGGACTATCGATACCCTTTTTATGTGTACCTCATTACATCCTGCCCGATGCCTGGCCACGTTGCAATTTGGCATAGCTTTTCGTGAGGTTTCCTCCCACTGCTCTGGCCTGCCAAGGAGGGATCATGCATATATAATAAATGACTTTCGTAGTTTACGAAATATTACAGTCCGGAATGGCGGGCCGCAGGATCCATCGTCCGCCTCTTGTATGTGCCGCTGCAGGATACCGTCGCTGCTCCACTTGTATGAGTCCAAGTATCTGGGACTCCCGGCGGCGGGAGCGCTTTCTAGTGCCAGCTGGTGCATCACGTTTTGACAAAGTGCACTGGGCAGCTGGACCGCCCGGAGCCCTTCTCTGCTCTCCAGGGTTCCCCATCACGAATTTGGTGTGAGAAGCGCAGCATAGGCCAGTGCCACAAAGTCGGGATCCACTGGCATTTTATGACTGAGAAGTGGAGCACAAGACAACGCATCTGCAACATGGTTAGCCACTCCGCGCTTGTACTCGATTGTGTACTTGTAGCGCTGGACCGAAAGGGCCCATGGAACGAGTCGTCCTGCTGGTTTTTGAGGCCCTTTGAGCCACGGGAGAGCCATGCGGTCTATTTTAATGTAAAACGAAACGCAGTCAAGGTACATCTCAAACTTCTAACGCGCGAAAATAGTCGACAGACACTCTTTTCTGGTTGTTGATTAGTTTCACTCCGCTCCGGATAGCGTATGACTAGAGACCAGTACGGCACGAAGAACGCTGTCATGTTCCTGCAGAAGAACTGCTCCTAGTCCGTAATCGCTTGCGCCGGTCTGCAAGATGAACGGACAATTCAAGTCGGGCAGATTTAAACACGCCTATCAGTCGGAGCCCTTGAAAGACACGCAAATGCGGTTTGCTTCTGTTGACCCCAACAACACTTCGTTTTTTGTTGTTGTTGTTGTTTTTTGTCTTCTTTTCTTTTTTTTTTTTTTTTTTTGCAAAGAAATTGCTTTAAATGTTTCGTTATCCCGGCGCATTGCAGAAAAAAATCTCTATAGAACGCATTCCATCCCGAGATATCTCAGTAGACTTGACGTCGTGAAGGGATGGGTACCCCGTTATAGCGAGCAACTTATCTTTATTCGGGCGCAGCGTGCCGTTTTCTACATCTTATGCTCTTCATGGCTCGCGTAAGAACAACGTACCGTGGAGCAGTGAACCATTTTTACCGCGAATATAGCACGGCTACCACGTTTAGAAGGGCTCTTGATGCAGCTGAACGAACTACGACCGGCACCGGAAGAAATGGAAGCGTCAAGTCACGTGACGCTTCGTTTCAGATGACGAAACTCCAGAAGGAAGCGAGAAAGGCTACGCCAAGGCGTCCGTTGCTTGCAATGGGAGGCGAGAGGAGGAAAGGCGCATGGGGCTGCAGGGTTGCAACAGAGCAGGCGTCTACACTCGTGCAGGCAACACTGGCTCTTATCCTTTCCCAATCCTCTTCCTCAGGCGCCGCCATTAAATTGCAAACGCTCTCCGAGATGTGAGTTGGGCCCACCCTAACTACAGCCTCCCTACATCTGGTTCCGACCTCTACCGGGGCCGCCTTTGGCGAAAAATTAGGGTTCGGCGATGCGTAGTTTATTTTTGCGGTGGAAAAAACCCTGTAATTGTTTTCTCGGAACATCCCGTAGATCGATATGTTTTTCTGGACCAAATGGTGCCAAGAAAAAGCAACGCTTCTCATTCCATTTGGCCTCCGTGGCGATAATTATGTGGCCCCACCTTACGGTCCAGTGGAAACTTGTGTACACGTGAGGCCAC